ATATTGATTCACTCATAGGGTCTTTGCATCGGAAATAAACACATTTATTCTAAAACCAGTTGTTGGCCTGATACGGGTTATGTTCTTCTCATATATTTTATGACGGTATGATACTAAACCCCTAACGGGAGGGATTGTGCTTGATTTTCATATGATGAAGACATAATCTTTCAATCAGTTTACTTGAGGTCTGGAGCTGGCATGTCAGTAACTGCTAGTAGTCCTTTGTTAATATATTCATCATTGTCATTTTGCTTAGTTTCTTTTGGTATAGGGGAGGATTGAGATCTCACAAAACATGTTTAACCCCGCCGCATTTTTGCGCCTGTCCCAAGTCAGGAGCCTCTGGCCTTTGTTAGTCTTGTATGTTTTTTAATTTTTTAATTTTAGTTCATTTATATGTTTTGGAGTTTAGTGTGACGTCCATTTTCATTGAACTAGTACACATTTTTGTTCAGGGGCCAGCTGAAGCCCGCCACCGGGTGCGGGATTTTCTCGCTGTATTGAAGACCCATTGGTGGCCTTCAACTGTTTTCTGCTCTTTGGTCGGGTTGTTCCATTCTCAATTTTAAACCATATGGGTATGGTTGGTATGGTGAAATTATCAAGTGTAGAATAAATCATTTTCAAAAAAAGACGTAGAGGCTTAATCTATGGTTGCATAAACAGTCGCAAACCGTGTCGTTTGATTGTCTATGAAATTATTAAATGGATTCCGTTTAAGAGTTAAATGTTTGAGTTTATATAATCGAAAACTATCAGTTAGGCGTGAAAATTGTACATATTTTATCAGAACAGCATCAAAATTTTACGGATATATATTTAAATTTCGAAAAGTTTCATGCGCCTGAGAAAATTATGTGCATATAATGTATTAAAACCTCAATGATTTACGTATTAAAAGCGCTTTACCTGTACGGTTCAATGTCATACTAAAAGGTACACGTATGTAGATATGTAGCAGGTTATTATAATGTTCACCAGCTCTTTAAAATCTAATATTCAATAAATGAAAAGTATTTGCCAACGGAACAATTAAGTGTTGTCCGAAATATTTTTACCAACTGTATGCTTTTCTTGGGTTTCAGAATGGACATTATCAGGGGCGGATACAGGATTCATACAGGGTCCGAGGAAAGAGGGGAGGATGGGGAGCATACCAATAACTTTTTTGAGTCGATTTTAAGCAAAAAAAGTGATATTTATGTTATCAATGACCTTTCATTATTCAAAACTACGGAGACCAATCAGAGTCTTGACAAAATCAGTTTATTGCCATTCAGAGGAAGGCATTACGTTTTAAAAGGCCCATAGCACTTATGCCCTAGACCCGTACGAGTTTGTCAGCATATGGTGGGGGGAGTGGGGTACTTCAGTATATCACATAGTCAAGGTTAAGTATTGCCGGCTAGCCAAAATAGGGGATTCTACACGTTGGCAATTATACCAGAAGTAGAGGTAGGAATGGCCTCTAAAATGGCCTACAGCACTTATGCTCAAGACCCGTACGAGTTTGACAGCATTTTAGAGGCAATGCCTACCTCTACATCTGTCATAATGGCCCACGCGGAGAATCTCTTAGTTTGGCCAGCCGGCAATAGTTTATTTCGATTTCGTGATATACCAGAGAACCGCCTCTCCCTTTTAACCCTCTGCTGACAAACTAGTACGGGTCTAGGGCATAAGTGCTATGGGCCATTTTAAAGGCAATACCTTCCTCTTCCTCTGGTATCATGGCCCACGTGGAGAATCTCTTAGTTTGGCCATCCGGCAATAGTTAATTTCGACTTTGTGATATACCAGGGTACCCCCCCCCCCCCCTCCCCCCGCCCCCTCTACCCTTTGCTGACACCCTCGTTCGTGTCTAGGGCTTTTTAAATGCCATACCTACTCTGAATGGAATGGCTTGAAATTAATGGCTCTGATTGATCTCCGTAGTTTTGAAAAATGATATGTCACTGAAATAGTAACTGATAGTTTTTATTTTTCTGTGTTTTTTCATTAACTATAAATCTTCTTGTTTGTCTGGTCTGATTAAAATTGAAGATATACGATCGTATGTATGGAATGTAGTACTTTTGAGATGGGACTATAACAGATTATGGAATGCCCGTATGACAATAAATTCCTTTTGATTCCTTTCAGTGTACGTGTAAATTATATTTGTTAAATCACTATTAAATGTCTAATATTTAAACACTTCGAAAAGTCGAACATGATAATCATTTATAAGAACCGTATTCATATGGATTGTTTGAGTGTATGTCCCATTTTTAAGAAGCATATGCATATGTCATAGCTTTTGTTCAATTTCTTTATTTACAGTAATCGCTAAATTTCTATATTTAATCATACTTTTATTTATTGTAGTTTCAGTTTACATTACTGCACTAATCACAGAATTTTAATGAATCGTTTCTTGGTTTTATGTGTATTGAGGCATTAACCTTTTTATTTACTTTCATTTTAAATGGTGTTAAAAAACGCGGACCTTGCATAAGACACCTATTGATTTAATATTTTATATTGCTATAAATAGCAGAACCATATTGAATATTAACAGCAAAAAGTTATTTAATTGTCACAATCTATTAATTACCCACACCACTTCATCGAACGCGGTCTCATCTCATGAATATTAACGCAGGCTAGCTTCACACTAGTACTTGTTCCTGTATTGCTATGAATCAGTTTATCAGATGTCTGACTGTCCCTCTGGTATCTTTCGTCCCTCTTTTATGGTCAAACTCAGTACAGATCCGTCTAAATTCCATTTAATAGAAAATAAAATAATACATGTAACACTTATCGGTACCTTGATGATATTTTTCTTCGAATAAACATGAATTTTCTAATTATATACATTGACAATTTATTACAAGGAAAAAAAAACTCTAAAAGAAACAGATCAATTGTATCGATCGTACGAGTCAACCCTTTTCCCGCTGATTTACCTCCATAAACTTATTTAACCCAGCCCAATCTTTATGTGCATGTCCCTGTAATTTAATGGTTGTCATTGTCTGCCTTATTCGATTTTTGTTTGATTTTTGATAGCATAAATCAGTGCCTTTTTTTTAGCTTTTTATACGATATGGTGTTTGCTCCTTGCTGAAGGTCGTACAGTGTCCCATAGTTGTATACATCCTCGTCCTTTGGTCTCTGGTGGAGAGTTGTCTCATTGGAAATCATACCACTTCTCCTTATTTAATATCTATCAATGCATTACCTTAAGGTTTTGCATTCGTAATTGAAGGAAAAGGGCATTAACCTATATTTTGGAATGAAATGATTTGAAGGGTACAGTTTACTTTTATAACTCAAACCAATTATATATTTGTAATAACAATTTTTTTTCAACAAATACTAACATACCTTATATATTTTTTTAAGCTTTGTTTTTGTGTCTTTATGCAAAAGAAGTCTTTTTAATTTTATTTAACATCATATTTACACGGGAGAGAGAAAATCATCAACCAACTCGAAAGAACCTGATTAAATGAAAAATAAAAACACGAACCCAGCAGGACACTACACTTACTGTGAGGCTAATAATTGTATGCGCCAAGCATGTCCAATTAGTTTCATAAAAAAACAAGAATAATTGACTAAAATCATTCTCTAGATATTTCGGATAACAATTATATATGTATTTCCTTTAAAGAATGTTGTATGCACGAATATTAATTGGAAAGTATAATTATGAACATTTTGTATATATCATAGATGAACTTTAATATGAAGATCTATAAACATTAAATATGTGAACATTTAAAATAGACTTACAGCAGAATGCATCGAGTGTGTAAGTAAAGGTTATATCTTTGGTTAGCTTGCTTGCTAGCTGAACCGTGAAGTCATCATTATGTTAGGTAAACTACCCTCCTTTAAGAGTAGACTAGTCCGACAGATAACAAATCTATCTATCTGTAGGACTAGACTACTCCGAAAGGAGGGTAGTATACCTAACCTAATAATGACTTCACGGTTCAGCTAGCAAGCAAGCTAACCAAAGATTATACCTCCACCTACACACTCAATGCATTCTGATGTAGGTATAGACAGTAGTGAGCTTATGGAGTAACATAGCATTATAACTGGTTTTCTATGCTAACGGGTAAAATATGGATTGACCAATCCCGGATACATAGTTCGAAAAATGACAAGTTCAAAGTACAAAGAAAATAAAGCCCCGTATGAACATAATTATAACTGGTTTTAATTATTTTCGAAATATAGGAAAATTAAATAATTCAATATCTAGTTTTTAAAGATATAATATTTCAGTCAAGCATTGGTTTATTAATTATAATTTCATTTTCACTGCAAATTTAGCTTGTGCTATCAAACTTCTCATGCACAGAGAAGATTGTATGTCAGTTTGTATAAATTGCACGAAGTACAAAATTATCGACATGTTTTTCTGAAAAAGTTTGAGCCTTTCCTTAAAATGCAGGTTTTCCCTGGCTTCTTTTTCCAAATATGCAATGAAATTCTGTCTATCCCTCTGTATCTCTGCAGTAGACATTTGTATTTTACCATAGTTTCTCAAACCTATTTCGCAAATGAGTTTAAGCCACAAAACATCATTAACACTACATATTTCAAGGTAATATTCGATTGCATTTTTTACATCTTCACACTGGCAAACGTTGTTATTGTTTTTTTCGTAGGCTTCTAATTTCAATTTATAAAGTTTAGTTTTTTCATCATACCGACTTTGAAGTCCAGGCAAGACAATATTCAAATTCAACCAATACGCTATTTTGTGCTCATACTTAAAGTAAACACGTGAGCTTATTTCATTTTTTTCCTCCAGGTATCCCATGAAATGAGCTAACCATTGAATATGAATGGAATGTTTTTGTCGAAGTTGTTCTAAATATCGGAACTGAGGGCTGACAATGGAATTAAATGATAACTCTTTCAAATATTTACGTTCCGGCTCATTGAATATGTGAAGTAATGTCCTTTGATATACAAACATAAAATCATGATCGTCAAACTTCATCCATTTCCTTAAACGTATGTATGCTTGTTTTTGTAGTAACTTCAACTGACGTATTATTAAATTGTTCATGTCAACTAAAGCAGAACAAATATGCATTGTTACATCAAAATTACAAAAAAAAACAATAACTGGTAAAATTTTAAATGTGTTCATGGATTTTAAAACCACATGAAGTCCATGTATACATACTTCCCTATACGCGTTCATATATAATATGTAGTTGTCTTTGTTCCTAACTTCACGTCTACATTTCGCATTTTGTGTTTGTATGAGACCATAATGTTTATAACTATACTGAAGGCGACATGTCCAATCAAAAATGTGTCGTACTTTGTGATTGAAAAGCATATTATATATCAACAAACTTTCTATTTCCAAATTTGGTTTGGTTCGGGAAACACGAATGCTAACCATCCATTTCATTACACTTTCTTGTTTGTAAATCTTGGCTAAATAATACGGGGATATCTTGTTAAAATCGTAACAGTTCAATATATCGGAACCAAACAACAAAGTGCATTTCTTTAGAAAATCTATAAAACCCTTGGCTGCTCCTAAATGTACTAGACTTAAATGGCTCACATTAGATTCACACAATAGAGTTTTGATTTTTCTTCGTCTTATTCCTTTAGATGTATATAAATTGTCTAACAAAAACTCGGCTGTTTCATCATATTTCTGGGCGCTACTGTAATCAATAATCAATTGTCGAGTTTTGTTCTCCGAAACGAATTGTAGTACTTGAAATGGAAAACTATTACTATAGCGCAAAGGTACTTTACCATTGTCCAAAAAAGGAGCTTTAATAATCAAAATATTTATAACTGATTGACCATGACGGGACAAATGTGATACAGTCATTCCTTTACTCAGCAAAAATTGTGTTCCTAACAAATTTCCTCCCATCGCAGCTCTATGAAGTAAATTATATCCATCCTTATCAAAACAATTGTCTAACATTTTGCTGGAGTAATCTTCCAAGTAATTGTTTAGAAACTCGCTGTTATGATACATTGATTGTGTATTTCGATCGTTCATAACAATCTCATGAAGAGGACTAAAGCTTCCGTCACATTTTGGAGAATTTTTGTTTTGTTAAAAAGAATTCTGCTATATTTGGTCCCTCATATTCTGTAATAAACTGAAGTAAAGGTGGATTGTTATGCACAACATGTTGGAATTGTTGTTCAGCATAAACTTTAAGCATCAAAACCGTGTAAATCCTAGATTTGCGGATTGCTATCGTTAGCAAGTCTGATACATTAAAGTTTGCAAACCCGTCCATTTGATTAAGATACAGCAGTGCTTTTAATATACAAAGCTCGTGATTCGTCAAAATAGTTTTAAAATTTGTCGGACATTTCGTGTAGAACACATCTGTAATAGAACATCCTTCAGGAATTCGTATAGGATCAAAGGACTTACGTGTATGCATTGAATGAAATGTTTCGTCAACAGGTGTTTTTTTAGTTGCGTCCTTCTGTGTCAAAAGACTCATAACATCATTCTCAGATAACATTTGAAATGCAATAACAAATCCTACGTAGTTTCCACTTTTAGCAGCGTAGTGTAGAAAATTCCTTCCTTCATTATCAGTATGGAGAAAATTATGCTTAGAATTAAGGCAAACCTGAAATATTGACCATATCTGACCATGCTCTCCAACACCGATATCTATGCTGTCGTCAATTTGTCTCAATGGAAGTAGCATGCTGTAATGTAAAATGCTTCGACGACTATAATCAAGACTATCAGGAATACTAAGATGATATACGTCGTTTCTTTTGTGAAAGAAGTACAACGTAGGAGACCGACATATGGCTGAAGAGTGAAATACACTAGAACCGTTGACAGTGATAGCGGAGAAGTTGCAGTTATTTTTTGTCAAATAAGTGAGACCCACAAAGATATGATTATAAAAACAAAACGCATAGTGCAATGGAGTAGCTTCATCGGCATCTCGCTGTTCCCAGTCTGTAAATCCTTTTTTGTACATAAACAATATCATATCAGTAGTACCGTGCATCGCTATAACGTGAGCGAGAGTTGCCCCAACGGGACATTGTTCTGTAGTTAATAAATCCACTTCCGAAATATCTAACGTGGACCTCAATTCATAGATATTAAAGGAATGAACACATTTTGTTGTTAAATTGGCACCATTCAGATATAAATGATAAAAAATATCCGTACGATTATACCTCACAGCTGTCATTAAAGGCGTTTTACCGTCATAAGTTGTACAATTAATAGCACTGAATTTTTCACGTAAAAGTTTCTTAACAATCTCAAGATGACCATTACGCACAGCAGTATTCAAAGCCGTTTCGCATATAATTAATCGCCAATCGTCATAGAAGAATGTTTTGATATGGACATCTTGATTGAGTGTTAATCCTGATCTAATCTTATCAAATTTTATTGTTTGTTGCTGTCTGTTAGATAGTAATGGTAGCCAGTAAAACATACCATTACATGGTAAACATTCATCCTTTGAGCCGGTATCAAGCAATAGTTTTAGAATCTGCGTGTGACCTTTCTCACTTGCCTTGTATAAAGAGTGGGTGTCTGCAAAACTCTTGTTATAGTTTAGTAAAAGCTTCACTATATCCAATTGACCATGTTCTACGGCAAGATGGAAGGCATTAAGATGCATATCATTTTCTGAATATATAAGATATCGATATTGCTGCAGTATCATTTCGGCAACATATGTATGCCCGTTTTGGGCAGCAATATGGAAAACATTATAGCCACAAAAATAAACATATTTGCACAATTTAACAATATCATGATTAGAGCTAACTTTAGTGTACAACTGTGTATTCTGATGATTAACATGAAATGAACCTTCTAGTGGTGAATAGTCATATACGACGGAAAAGGCATATTTTGCACCATTGTGTAATAAACATTTCAAAGTCTTCTCATTACCCTGGCTAGCTGCTATAAACGCTGGGGACTGGTTCATCGTGTTAACCGTATTTATTGCAGCAACACCAATGTATTTGAGTAGCAGATCCGTCGTATGGTAATCATTATATTTCCAAACTACTTGATAGAGTAATTCTAAGTGTAACATTTTATCCCTACTCAATAAATCTCTGACGAAACTGAATAACCTGGTTTCGAACTCAAAATTTTTGCTCATTGCAACATGATGAATAAGCTCTGTCAAATTAGTTTTTGAAGTCGAAATAATTTTGAATTTTCCAAGCAAGTATTCCGCGAACAACTTGTGCCCATTTTCTTTATGAACAAAAAATTTCAATTTGTTTCTCCTTTCGTCAGTTAAAAAGTCACTGATAGATTTGTGTAAAAACGATATTTTCCCATCCTCAAATTTAAGAAAATGTCCCAATTCATTTCCAAGTAACGTTTCTAGTTGCCTCCTTTTACTATTTTCATCAATTTGTGATACTTCAATGAGATGAGCGTTATCGATAGGATTTTGAATAGTGCACAGAACTTCAAATACAGGTAGGAAATCATTAAATAAATTTCCGGAATCTTTAAAAATTCTTTTGAAATTTAATTGGTACAACAGTGCAAGAGAGTTTGGTACATTTCTAAAGTCAAATGTATCTGTTTTCTTGCAGTACTGTAAATATAGTTTAACATGAAGAAAATTTCCATTAGCAGCTTTTGTCAGTGTTGTGTTCTGAGGTTCTGAAAGCTGACTTGTTTTACGGACGTAATTTTGTACATCCTTTAAATTGAATGAATCTAATGTATTCAAATAGATATGCGTTACCATTTCATCTAGGAATTGAAAATTTTTATGAATATTATCAATGTTTCTTGAAGTCATAATAAATTTAAAATTAGATGGAAATCTTTGGATTTGAGTCATAAGAAAATGAAACAAATTATTTCCACTGGCAGATTCACATTCATCCAAAGCATCAATAAGGATTATAAATTGCTGATTGATCCAATGATCTCGCAATGGATTTAAAATAGATATTTCAAAACAAGATATCGGATCTTTATAACATCGTGTCCCGTATAAAAAATCAGAAGCAACATCATCAGATAGGATGGCATTTCCCATTTCAGGATAGTGTTTAACGATTGCACTTGCAAGATTTCGAATGAATGTACCTGCGTTTAAGGTCATGGCCATATCATGTCTACAAAAATGGTAAGCTAGAACTTGTTTCCGAAAATCATACCACGCGGATGAGCTATTGGCACATACTATATTAGATATTATGGACGACTTCCCATACCCCATATTTGCCGTCAATAAGATTCCGTTAGCCTCGAGTAAATGTGTATCTACTGTATCCTTTAGCCATCGTCTTTCTATGAAGCTTGCGTTATTTAATGTTTGGACATAGAAATCGAAGTCCAAAATACTTTTCCAGTGCTCTGGAAATCGCATACTTAAACAACCTACAATGTATTAAAGGAAATATTCATGTATACCAGTTAAAAGTAAAATAATGTTCATGTATCTACAAATTCAAATCATTTCTTGTCTGTGAAAGGAACACCAATGGGAACAGAACAATACATAAAAAGGAGTAAGTTTGCGAATGGTTATTATTGGCCCTAAAATTCCATAAAATTAACGTCAGCAGTTAAAGTAAACATTGTTGTCTCATTGACACATTCCCCATTTCCATTCTCAATTTTATTTGATGAAAAATATATAAAAAATAATTATAAAAAGAAATAAACCTTTAAATTGCAAATGAACTGTCAAATATTATACCATAGAAGTTATCAAACTTATCGAAAACATACACTAGACAGAAACACGAATCATGTTGGTTATCTAAATATATAAGATCGTAAATTTTTGTTTATAGATATGACATGGAAAAGTCCCATTTCTAGTGCAAACTTCAGTTCTTCGTCTTCCTACACTTCCTTTTCATATGATATTTACAATTGATTCATTGCAATTACAGTTCAGAAAAAAAACCATTTGTTTTATAATACCGTTAATTGTGATAATATTTACTACAAAACACCAAACAATTAAAACATATGCACACAGTGTATCATCCACAGTGGTACGCATGTTGGTATTGATTCAACATGTATGTGTTCCTTGAGAAAAACAATGCAATAGGTGATAAACTTATGTGATGTGATCAGTCTTTACCTGTCCTTTGATATATACTATCTTTTTTTTGTCCCTTAATACTATTTGATGATTCCTTCATGTTCAGACACTTTTGTTCGACTAAAATAGGACCACATATTTTGGCTCTCGGGTGCGTTTGGGGAATGTACCCCTCCTTTTTCTATAAGCTTTTGTTCGTTTTATAGATTTTTGTTAGTAAATATTCTTTAATATTTTTATTATTTCCACTTATCAAATGTGCTTATTCTAACCATATGACATTACAATAACAGTAATTTATATATGATGCCCTCATTGTTATTTTCTACAAGACATGAAAGATCAAAACATGAAAGATCAAAACATGAAATATCGTACATTGTCTACTCACCTCCTTTACATTTGATGTGCCAGATTTCCATAAAATCATATTAAATAGGACATATATACAAACAAAGACATACCTTATCGTTTTTGTTGGGGATTTGTATGTACAATCTCTCAGCTATCCAGAAATTTTAAATTGCATTAATTTCATCAAGTCCATTACTGATGACGGAAGTATGTGCTGTATGAATCGAAATGCGATTCATGAATCATGAAGTCCGTTAAGTTCGAAACCTTTTGAACTTTTTGATTCATGCATTGCATTTCAAGTCATACATTGCACGCGATTAACGTCTACTTTCGCCGTCAGTAATGGACTCGCCGAAATCAAAAGCTACCAAGAAGTGACAATTGTAAATGTATGATATTTAAATGTCCTGCCTTGTGAAAAATAAGAATAGAGGACAGCATATACAAACTACTGTTGTTTTTATATAGTGTAGATAACAGTAAGTACACATCACCTTAGTGAAAATAAGTTCAAATAGTAAAGAAAGTTTAATTTGAAAAATTAACACAAACCATAGAGAGAGAGAGAGAGTCTCCACTCCCAAGCGCCTGTGTTTTTTTGTCTTGTGGAGCAGCACAACAAATGCATAGACAATAACTGTTTAGTGTCTTTAAATATCAGCTGTATTTGTACGAGGCTAAGAAACAGGTGTAATGCGAGTTTCAGCGAGCTATTACTCCTGTTTCGAGCCGAGTACAAATACAGCTCATATTTAAAGACACTAAACAGTTATTGTCTTTATCCTGCAATTATATTTGTACATTTTTTTCCCATCCTAATCGTTGATTTGTTTTTGAAAGAAATCGACATGACTTAAACGCGGACCGCAATGAGGACCCCAAATTGAACTGTGACGTAAACAATAATTTTGACATAACCGTTCGCTCGCAACAAAAGCAGGATACCAGAAGACTATATACGTATATCGCTTCGTGTTATCTGTACACCTTTATTCGTATAGTAAAAAGGTCGATTGCAGGATAAAAGTTTATTCGTCCCCATCATCCGTACCCGATCTTAAATCCTATGTTACCAACATTAATTATTGTTGGATATAATTATGTAATAATTGACTATAAATCTGACGTCACCACGATTTTCACAAAACATGTGACAGTTTTTGACATGAAACCGAATAATACACCCGATTAGGTCGATATGATAAATACAATAACACACAATATCTATCTTAGTAGCTTGGTTGCCTGCAATATATATCTTTACCTTGATTCGATGAATCCAATTGCATAGGAAATATAAATGAAATGGTAATGGAAATTAAAAGTATAAGAACACTTAAATCTTTTAGGACATTCCTCATAATTGGTGAAATAATGTTTTGGGGTATTTTATTCGGCTTAATTGTTGATTCCAGTATCATAGTGTTTATTCTGTCTTTGAAGGTGTTTCTTGCCGAAACAAAAGCTACTTTCTGTAAATCAACACAAGGCGAGAGTTGCTCAATACTGTCTCTTACTAAAATGAATGTTTCACGTGCGGCTTGATGTTGTAAGAGACATGTAGGAATTCCTTCTGCTGTTACAAGCTTTTCCAACAGGTCTACAGCCACTTTGGCACTTTCTTTACCAAATATATTTGGGACTTTTAAAATCCTTATAAAGCTCTGTAGGCACAGTTTTTTCTCCGTTTCATCGACACTGATCCTATAATTATGAGCAAAGCTGTGGTTTCTATGCCGTTGAATATCTTTAATTACTAAGTCATCTATAATAAAGATTTTCATATTCATAAACAAAGATATAATCGCACCAAGATCTTGATAAACTCCTTGTCTGAACTGGTGAACATCACGAACAAAAAACTTTCGATATAGCTTCATATGAACATGTTGAAGAGTGTGGAAAATCTATGGTATCGATCTCCTTCCAGTTGATTTTGTCCCATTGTTTCTTATATCGACAAAGTTTACGAAGTTCGTCTTTCCATGATTTGCAAATATTGCACCACTGACTGAAGATATTTCCGTATTTTCTACTACAGTTTATATTACATTTCAAACCATTGGGTATTCGCTGTAAAATGTTTTGATGTGTTGTTTCAATAGTGTCTAATACAAAGTCTTGTAATCCGAATACTCAAAATTTTAAACCAAGGGCAACGGAAATAAAATTGTCTAATGCTTTCCGATCAATAGCGGCCATTATCTGTCAGTGCATGAAAAAGTCGATTTACACACGGAAAGGTTAATAACATTATTGATTATCATGTTTAAAGTCCGATATTCATATAGATAATATCAGTTTGGTGTGAACATGATAACGTTATCTTTCTTACTGCGCTTTGGACGCACGAAATTTATAGTGTTATCTTTATATATACAGGTAAATTTTTATTTCTAACAAAATATATATGCACAATATTTCAACAGATATATCATAACTAGAGGCTTTAAAAAGCCTGTGTCGCTTACCTGCATCTTCAAAATTAGCTTCCTTTTAGTAAAAAATCATCATTAAACAGGAATCACTCTATAAAGAGTTCACAGAAAATTTCAATCATGTTGACATATTTCTAGATCTCAACCTGTTGATATTTTTTTGTCTCGCCTTGACAGAGTCGAAAAGCGAGACAAAGGTATGCTGTTTCCGGCGGCGTCAACAATATATTAGGTCTTATTTCCATTGAGATTATTTGGCCCCACCCCATCAGTCGTGGTCTATTGATTTTGAAACTTTTGCAAAGTTTATATGTTTAAGTGGTAAGTCAATGATAGTTGGTATGCAGTTATATAAGCATTGGCACATCTCAATTCCATGGTGATTATTTGGCCCCACCCCATCAGTCGTGGTCTGTTGACTTTGAAACTTTTACAAAGTTTATATGTATAAGTAGTAGGTCAATGATATTTGGTATTCAGTTGTATTAGCATTGGCACATCTCGTTTCCATGGAGATTGTTTGGCCCTGTACCGTCAGTAATGGTTCATTGAATATTTTGCATAACTTACATGTTAAGGATTGCTATTTTAATTTCAACATTTGCATTTTACTATCAAATTAACAAAAAGGCGAGACATATCTCTGTGTTAACAGTTTATTCCTTTTTAAAGTTTCTATTTATCTATAATAGTTTTAAGATAATATGCAAAAATTGGAAAAATTGTCATTAAATGGCCAAAAACTTCAATAAGGAGTCAACTAACGATTTTGGTCATGTTTAACTTATTTGTAGATCTTGTTTTGCTGATCATTTTTGCTTTTTAAAGTTTCTATGTATCTATTATAGTTTTCAAGATGATAGGCAAAAATAGAGAAAATTGTCATTGAAAGGCAATAACTTCAATAAGGAGTCAACTAACGATTTCGGGCAAATTTGACTTATTTGTAGATCTTGTCTTGCTGATCATGTTTGCTTTTTAAAGTTTCTATATATCTTTTACAGTTTTTAGATATTAGTCAAAACGCAAACCTATTGTAAAAATCATCATTAAAGGGCAATATTAAAGGGCAATAACTTCAGTAAGGAGTCGACTGAAGATTTCGGCAATGCTGACTTATTTGTAGATTATGTCGTGCTGATCATATAAGCTGTTTACAGATTCTATCTATTTATTACATTTTTTTAGTCAATAACGGCAAAAAATTGTAAAAATCAGCATTAAAGGGAAATAACGCTAATAAGGAGTCGTTTGATGATCCTAGTTTTGTTGTTTTATTTGTAGGTCTTGAATTTCTGATTATATTTGCGATTAAAATTTTCTCTTTATCTATCATATTTTTCGAGATAATAGGCAAACAATTTAAAAAATTGTAAAATTGTCATTTAAGGGCAATAACTCCTATAAGAAGCTCTCTGACAGTTTTGACTTTAATAGACAATCGGTAGAGATCAAAATTCTGAACACTTTTGGTCTTGTAAGATTTTCTCTGTTTATAGCAGAAATCAAAATAATATGCAAAACTTTTATGCATTTTACCCCTACGTTCTATTTGTAGTCATGTCGGCCATCTTGGTTTGCAAGTGGGGTCATCGGACACATTTTTGAAACCAGATACCCCAATGATGATTGTGGTAAAGTTTGGTTAAATTTGACTTGGTAGTTACAGAGGAGAAGAATTTTTTTTAAAAGCTAACATACAACGACCGACGACTGACCCGATTGACGACGATGGACGCCAGGTAATGAGAAAAGCTTACTTGGCCTTTCGGCCAGGTGAGATAAAAATAAAAGATAATATTTTAAAAATGTTTCATTTAAATTAATAACATATGAGATATTTCACAAACTGTTTAGAATATTTTACAAACTGTATAAAGTATATCATGTTGGTTTTTATACACTATATTTTATACAACTTAGAAGACAGTATATGAGATATCTTGTACGGAAAAGTTTTATAAGAAATGTTCTTTAAAATCATCAGATATTTCATATAGTTACATCTGATATATAATTTATAAACAGAAGGATATATATGATATTTTATTTCTGATATCTTGTACAACTTTAATCATCTCATCACAGTCCCAGGGAGTGTATCTATCATTAATACCTTTGTATCATTGCAGAAGACGGTTGTATATTTATCATTTAAAATCAAATAAGAAATTTTCAGCTTGATAAGATCGTGTGTAGTGTATAGAGTCGGATCGAAAGGGCCTTCTAATATAAAAATAAGAAGATGTGTTATGATGGCCAATGAGACAACTCTCTAACAGAGACCAAATGACATACTAGTAGAAGTTTACAACTATAGGGCACCGTACGGCCTTCAACAATGAGCAAGACCCATATCGCATAGTCAGCTATAAAAGGACCCGAAATGACAACGGTAAAATAATTCAACCGAGAAAACTAACGGCCCGATTTACGTACAAAACAATGAACGAAAACAAATATAATATACAGCAACAAACGACAACCATTGAATTACAGGCACATACAGAATGTTGCGGGTTCAAACTATTTGTTTGGCACCGAACCCTCCCCTGCCCTGGGATAATGATGTAACAGTACAACATAAGAACCAGCTATAAAAATCAGTTGAAAAGGACTTAACTCATCAGATCGATACAAAGCAGAAACACATCTAACAAAAACACAGACCGGACGTGGCAGCACACAATTTATCAAAGAATTTTTCACACTACAAAAACAATTCCATTATTTTCATATATTTCGTTATTACAAAATATAAGTTATAGATATTTCATATCTTTTGGATAGTTTTGCGGTGTTTCGTAAATTATACCATAGCTTTTGTTGAAACCCTCGGCAATAACCGAAGGTTGCCGAAGGGTTTCAACAAAAAACTATGGTATAATTTACGATACACCGAAAAATTATCCAAAATATATGGAATATCTGTTTTAACCTATCGCATCGTTTGCTGTTTAAAAATGTGTATTTCATATATTTTTGTTTGTTTACTTTTAGAATAAGTTAAATTACCCTTTTAGGCGGACCTTGCACATTAAGCTCCGCATACTTTCTAAAATAAGCACGGGCTTCTGAAACAGCGGGAACATCAGTTAGACAAGATTTTTCGACAGCGATGGATGCATATTTACATTGGTGACGGGTAACGTTACAGAAAAAAACTATTGAAGGAATTAGATGTTCTACATATAGACGCAAGAGATATATTGAAAGATTTCTGGAATCCCAGATTAAAAGTTGAACTGCAAAGGGTTAGTTTTATTTTTTTCATTTTATCAAAATGTTCGAAATGTTTTAAGTTTTTAGTATTAATTTAAAATTCTGTGGACATTAAAATCACAAGAATCTTTCTGGGAGTTTGGATGAATCATTTCGCGTTTTAATTTGTATCAGAAGCCCAAGTCGTACATAATTTAATTAAAAGGGATGTCAAAAAGTTCACGATTAAAATCACATGTAGAATAGTATAGATAATTTAAACAAAAAGTTCAGTTTCATTTAGAGTAACCAGACGCTATCTAATTCTAACGGTCCAACATTATTGGTATTACTTAAGTAACCCCGTTAAAGTTTAGATGTATATCAAATCGGATGTGTGTCCAGGATTTTGAAAAGGGGGGTGGGGGTCTAGCAAGCCAACATTTGGAATAATACTATAAAAAAGTCTATGCATTTACCATATATGAAGCTCCTTGAAAGGGGCGTGCCCCCTCCCTCCCCCCAAAAAAAATCCGCTTCGGCAAATTTAAACCTATACTTGTAGCTGTACAGTGGAGCCTACGGGACTACAATCCAAGTATACATCTTAATAACCGAAAATCAACTTATATTTTCAAGTATAATATAATAATATTAACATATTTATATTTTTTTTAAACTTTGTTTGTTCTTGGAGCGAATTTTTGTTTATTTGAAAATATAGAACAACGGAGTTGGTGTACGTGGGTTCGATTCCCACCCTAGGCATACATTTATATCGGCTGGTTCAAAGCGGGCAGTTTAGCTAAGTGGCCCCACTCTGACTCTGTTGTTCCTATGTATAAAAAATTCAGGCGGCCTCGGCCAGGTCTTGCTATCTCTCTTTTTCTTTTCGAAGATCATATACAACAAAACCATGGTATAATTGTGAAAATTATACCATAGATAGCTATGGTATAATTTTCGGTTATTGAGATTTATACTCTTGTTGTATTCCCATAGGTTACATTGTACAGCTATAGGCTAATAATATGTTCTTTAATAGTGGTTAAGAAACTTGTTTAAATGAGATATAGGTAAATTGTGCAACACTAACTAAAAACCCGAGATCAAACGATATCTGAACGGATTTTGTGTAGTTTGAATTGCCAATACGAGTAGTGACTTTCAAATGTTCAAAAGACACCTTGAGTTGAGATATGGTAATGTATATGATTGTCTTCTATTTGACTCTCCGTAGACCATTCGACCATTGAATGGAATATAATGTATAATTTCATTATTATGAACTTCCGTGAAGTATTTTTGCCATACCAATACAATATTTGTGACTGCTTTGTCGACCTGACGGAACATAAAACTCTTTCAGAGAATTTGAAGTTCACTTCTTATCCTAGAAGTGGATGGGTTTTTAAACTTTCTATTAAGTTCTATAAATTATTTTCAAATGTGATATGCTAATATCTACAATGTTCATATAGTTATTGGAATAAAAAGCAAGTGCTTTTTTGTCTGATTTGTTCCGTTTACACCAATTTATAAAAAAGGATGAAAGAGCATCTTTAATAACATGGCCATTCTTTCCAATATATATTCGACGGTGGACGACATTTTAATCCTTTTGGTCTATAACATTTTTGTTTATAACATCTTGGTTTAGACATCTTGGTTTTGAACTATGTTGAGGGTCCCTGTAATAGCATGTCCATAAGGGTCATATCTTTTTTTTTAATTAGATTGTTTCACTAGGATCATTATTTTCTTAACTGACGTCTGCTGTAACTGAAGTGCAATACAAATATTATATTACTACTTGATTTGTTTTATACGTATACAAT